ACACCTGTGATTACAGATCAGGAAAGGTCGGACACACCCAGAATCTCAATATTGCAAAAGCCATCAAATCTATAAACGATAAGTCTCCAGGTCTTGTTTCAGCAAGTCACAAGAATGACAGCTGCCTGTAGTTGAACCATTTGAATTTAACTAACCGAAACTATGAATTTTATCTCACCTTTTTTTTTTAAAGTATGAAGTAAGCAGCTCCAAATAAACTGTTTTAGATGATAAAAGGTGAACATCAAGGCATTTAAACCTAAGATATCTGTAACATTAAAAGCAAAACTTATGAAAAGTACCCAATACATAGTGATTAGCATATTGTAAAACACTACATGGTTTTTTTCATAAAATATCACCACTCTTCCCAGAAGTACCATAAGTGAATGAAGCAAGTGAATCATCAAGAAAAGCAGGTCCCATTTTAAAGCCATTTCAAAAATATTACTTAAAATACTAGCCTGGAGAAATTCTAGGTGCATTAGCAATTTCAAAATCAAAATATTATGAGACAAATCATATGAGCAAGAAAGTTGCATGTTTTCAGTCCCTGATGATCTCAGCAATGCTATAATGGATTTATTATAGAAAGCACCGATGCTCAAACACACAGCACACTCCCACAAAACCCACTATTCTTTCACAGTTTGCATTCCATAAAGATAGTTACATCTCACAGTTATGCAGAAAGTTTACTAATAGGGCAAACACTGCCACAGACTCCTTCAATTCTGTAGCTTCTGCTTTATCATCTAAGGTGAATTTTAAAAACAAAAGGTTGGGGACAACTGAAAAAACAATTGCAGCTTACTTACTAAATTGCTGTCTTCTATCTCGAAAAAGAATCAGTACAAATAAAGATAAATACCTAGTGAGTTGTCTTGAAACCTACCAGAATATACCCTCTGAAATAGTGAACTTTATATTCAAATGTCTAAGTTAATGTTAGCATGGTTATCAAAGTGACCAGGATTATCGAAATGAACAGCCAGTGTTATGTCAACAGAAATAACCTGTTCCCATGAGGAACAGTGCAAATAAAAAGAACCAGGAATTCATAGTAAGTGTCAGATTTTCTAAAAGGAAAGATTGGATTTACAAAAGGAAAATCCATCAACTACTCAGTTTCTCCAGTGAAATGACAGATAACCCCTCCTCACTTTTCCTTTAAAATGCTTGGGTGGTAAAGACATTTTTATGCCCAGATGACCTCGAAAGCAAGCTATTGAGTGAGACCTGAGTAAAAAACTACTTGAAATGAGAGTAGTAAATATATTCAAGCATACTCTACTTTGATTCTTCAAAGGAAACTACATAGTCACTCAGTAATTTTACTGGCAGATCTGCCACTTGAAAATGAAGAAACTGAGGCTGAGAGAAGTTGTGACTCACCCGAGGTCACAGTTTGTTTGCTCTGGAGCTGTCAGGCTAACCCCAACCCACATGACACAACTAAGTTCAGTGTCCACCCTGAGGGCTTTACATTTAGCTTTGTCATAATTTACTTTACAATTTAGCAATGAGACAATCCCTTCACGGGGAATTATTAACAGAGAGAAACTCAGGTCACCTCTCTCTGAGAATGCCACGGGACTGAAACAAGGACAACACACACCTTACAGCCCGTGCTCATCTGTCAGCCTGAAAAATGAGTCTAGATAACAATCATTTTTCTTATTTGAATAGATTATTTGAACATAATAGCCCCTTTCTGCATTAACCACCAAAAAGTGGACAAAAGAGGACAGACTAGCTAATCTCAACTCTTGGGTCTTAGAAAGCCTTTTCACTCTTAAGAACTATAGCAGGGCGTGGTGGCACACCCAGCCTGAAATCTCAGCACTTAGGAGGCGGAGGTAGGAGGATCCTGAGGTCAAGGCCCGCCTGGGCTGCCTAACAAGTTCAAGGTTGGCTCCTGGGCTACATAACAAGCCTTGTATCAAAAAAAAAAAAAAAAAAGTTCCAGGAATCCCATAGAACTTTTGTTGATGTGAGTTCTAGCTAAATTATAGTACAAATTAAAACATTTTAACTCATAATAAATTATTACATAGCAACATCAACACACTTATGAAAAAATAGCTATATTGCCCCAAATGAAAAGCTTTAGTGAGAAAGTTTTCCTTTTTTTGTTGTTGTTGTTTTATGTTTTTGCAAGCATACTGTCCTGCTTAATAGAAGATAGCTAGATAGCATATTTACCTCTGCTATCAATGGCAGCAGTTATGTTTTGCTTCAACTCTATGAAGAAAATCTACTTTATACAGACACATTGCTGGAAAGGAAGAAAATATTTTAAAGGTCTTTGCAGATCACTGTGGCTGCAGCGGTACAAGTGAAAACTGACAGTGACTAACACTAAGTAGATTCTTAAAGGTTAGTTGCCATGTGGAATCTTAAACAGTATCAACGAACTTTTCATATGTTATTCCAGAAAATCCATTAGTCTGTCTTCCATTTTTATGGCATCTTTTGCCAATGCATGATTTCTGACTTCATGAACTTACTTGAGTTCTCAGGAACCCACTAAACCACACTTTGAAATCTATTAGAAAATAATTTATCCCAAAATGAAGCATACTATTAAATCTAAAAATACTATTAAATCCACCCCGTCTTGATCCTTTATGACCTTTAATTCATTAATGTAGTCAATATTCCCTAAAATGAGATAGCATCACAAATGAAAAAATCATGCAAGATTGGATTTTTGAATAAAAGATACAAAAGAACACATCAGTGATGAGGCTGGCATAAATTTAAATTCACTATTATCATCCTGTAGTATGAAATCTAGAAAAACACCAAAATATCCTCTAATCCTTGAGCCTTTAACTCTTGAAATTATCAAAACAAATAGGACTGGATGACATTCACCAGGAAAGTTGTAAAGAATTATTAATCTGTAAGAGATTTCAAACACCACTAATGCTTTGACCTTAAAGTGTTTTGAAAACTTATCTTAACTGGCACAAAACCAGTATGTATGCAAACAAAACCAATCCTTTTTTACTCTGTTAGCAAACATGCAAAGAATTTTGGGATACTCAAGAAGAGACTGATGACACCTCCAATGACCACAAATGTGGGATGGTCATTGATTCCTATCACTGTGCCTAAGACTATGGGCCATGGGATAATCAGGAGCAAATTCATGAGTTGAATGTGAGAGCTACAATTAAAATAATAGAAACTGGATCTGGATATAAGACATTTTCTTATAAAAATACTTAAGCATTTCAAATATTTCTTTAAAAACTTGTGGGGTTTCCTTTTTCTTCATTTTATGAAAAGAAATGGTAGATTACAAAACAATTTAAAATAAGAACTAAGTTTTATATAGTACACACTAGATGAGAGTCAAAGTACTTCCCATAAATTAAGTCCTACAAATATCATTTTCACTGTCTCTGAGATAGTTCTATTTAATTCCCTCTTGACAGATGAGGAAACGAAAGCAAGCCTGGAGATGTGACCAGCTTTACACAGGGACACAGTGACTGAGTCACAGAGCTGGTATTGCAACCAAGCCACTGATGCCTTTAACCACCAGACTCTACTAACCCAGCATGAGTCAATAAACATTGCTTACAAAAATATCCACATCACATACAAAAAATTTCCTTCTTTAAAAGCAAAAGGAAACACTTGCAGTGAAACTGCTGTGTTTGGTTCTAACGGCAGCCATGCTATCTTAGGACTTGTGTCAGAGTTCAGAATTTAACGGGCAGCACTGGAATATGACTGAACAGCTCACGCTACTGGAGACCTGAAAGACTATAACCTTCATGGAATGTTTGCTTCCATAAAAGCAAGAAGAGAAAGGTTTGAGCCAATGATAAGGAAAAGAATGTACAAATTAAAAGTTTTTGCTTTTGGTTTGGAAAACAGTAACAGTAAAAGACAAAGATACAGGAATACAGGTCAACCCTATATCCTGTTAGAGAGATGGATATACTTCCCACGAACTAACTTCTTAAGAAAATGAAGAGAAATATCCAGTATTCCTAGAGGCCAAAAGAATCTGTATCCAGAAAATGTATTCCTTACGTATTCCACAAAGGGATCATTTATCACAACCTGCAATAAAAACAGTACTGAAGCAAAGTCCAAGACAAGTACGCATTGCATAACTTTGAACCACCCTGTAGTCATATCTAAAGCCTCTTCCTTGTTTTTCTAAATATACACAACCTGTGATCTGCAACAAGTAGAGATATTTTACAGTAAATTATTTGTCTTCTTGCAGATAAGTTACGAATAATACCAGTTCAAAACTATAGTGACACATTCCACTTCCAACATGAGTACGAAAGCAAGATTGTCCACTAGGTAATTTTAGATGTGCTGAGTCTTTAAAAGCCCTCACAGTTAAGGGAATGATTTATCCGCATTGAAGACCACAGCTTTTATATAACTAACCTACCTAGAAAAGAGTGCCAGGGAAGGAAGCTTCTAGGTAACAGATTTGGGGTTCAATTTTATTTTTTACAAACAATGAATTAATAAAGAATACTAAAAGATAAAACAAGACTATGACCATGAAGAAAGTAATTTAATGCAGTCTTGTGAACAAGAAAATAGCAAAAGGGAAAAAAAATCTAGCATTAGTCTGCTAAAGTAAATATAGTAACTTGCAGAGAAAATAAACATTTTCCAAACACCTAAAACAGACAATGGTGGGACAACTATATATGCTTCTTCAACATCAACACAGATATTTTCTAAGAGATTTTAAGAATCTCTTGTTGCTCAACTTCATAAACATAATAGTATCATACCAAGAAGCCAAGAGAGAATACTAAAAGACCATTCTTAAAACAAAATACGACAGTAACAAACTGAAATGTTTAAATTTCTCAACTGTAAAGCCAAAGCTAACCTTCAACAATTTATAAAGCCAAGACTTTTTAAAGAAGGAAGGGAAGGAGAAAGAAAGGGAAGAAGGGAAGGAGGAAGGGAGGGAGGAAGGAAAGAAGATAGATAGATCAACTTACCTTGATACGTTCTCTGGAATGTATTCTAGGACTGGATATCCATCACTTCTTCTAGATGACAAGTCACCATGTGACTTCCATGACTCCACTAAAGTATTGACAGGAGGAAAGGAACTCAGGTGTTGGAAAGATTGGTCTCTAGGTGATCGTGACAAAGATATTGTACCTTGAGCACCAATCCTGTAGTGAAAGGACTGCCCACCTGAATTCACACCAACAATGGCAGATGAAGGGATACCAGCCTCAGGGTAATAGCTCCCATCGTCAGGTTCTTGCTTAATCCCCATTGGAAATCCACCACCTTCACAGTTACCATCAAAGCCGGGCACAGGTGGTCCTAAAATTCCTGATAAAGAATAATAGTCTTTGTCATCCATAAAGGAAAAATATGAGCCATCCATAAATGGAAAAGGATTTACTGTCGGATTCCCTTTGAAAGAGGTGCCCGAACATGAGTGCTTGGTTGACTCTTGCTTTATTGGTACTGAGAATGGAGAATCAGAAGTTATTTTGCTATTTCCTCCTAGACATGAACTGCTAAAAGTTCCATCCGGTTCTGGTTTGATGTACTGGACAATGTTGAGCTGACCAGTCACACCATTTGAGATGGCATTCTCAATTTCCTCAGTCTTAGGAAAAGGGACCTCGTGAGCACCTTTCTCGTGTGTGTCTGGACTGGGAGCTACATCCCGGGTCACACTGGCTCCAGCACCTGTGCCAGAAGCAGAGTAGCTGAAGGCATTGCTTATGGGGCTACAGATGGATCCCACAGTACTGGCTGTCGGGCTGGAAAGCGTGGATCTGTTATTTGTGTTGGAAGGGCTGGAAACGGAGCACCTTGAGTTATTGAGATTTGCAGGGCTGGACACAGAGGAGCGCAAAGTGACATTATTAGGACTGGAGACTGGAGATTTTACACTGCAGTGACTCGGAGGGCTGGAGATTGGGGATTTCATGCTACTTAATGGACTTGAGAGAGGAGAGCCCACGTTGCTAGCATGTGCAGGGCTGTGCGACCGGGAGCCTCGGTTTTCAACATTAGGGGAGCACATCAGAGGGGTTCCTTGGGTAATGGGGCTGTGCACTGGGAAACTGCCAAAGCTGGCTGTGGTGGAGGACACGGAGTTGATTCCAGCAGGACTGCAGACAGAAGAGGTCATGTTCAGAGGGCTGCACACAGAAGCACTCTTCTCAGGACATATGATGGGGCTTTTAACAATGGCACGCATGACCCCACTGTTGGTGGAGCTCCCAGAGTCAGCCATAAAGGACCTCAAAGGTCTGCTCACACCACTCAGTGTGGAAGGACGATGGCCATTCTCTTTGTAAAACTTCACCAGCTGTTCCACGTTTTGATAAATCTTTGCTGGGCTCAGGCTGCCTTGTGGGTTCTGTTGATCATAGGTGTAGTCAGCATCTCTGACGGAATCCATGTATAAACCCATGGACTCAGCTACAGTGGCGGAAAGTTCCTTAGATTCCAGCTCGGTTTTGATATCGGATGTTAAAATCCCACACCGAGTACTGTCTTGCTGCACGCAAGGGAGTAGTTCGTGCTTTTCTTTGCTGCTTCCTTGAGTACTGTTGTTTGGAATAGCACCGGAAACACAGCTCACGTTGACAATCTCCATGTAGTTATTCTCATCGGTCTTCGCTGTAGGTCCCAGGGAGGAGGGCTCCTGAGAAGCTTGGGCCCAACGTCGTTCCATATCTAGACCGTCGGGGAGACTGTGGTAGCCTTTAGTCTCCATAGCTAACAAAGAAATCGATATTAAAATATCAGAGTCAGTAAGAGCGGGATTAGGCTAAAGGATATTCTAAAATTTTGCATTTATTGAGAGACAACTACTTATTATAAGCAATATTTCTAGTTATATTGGGTGCTGACACAATGGAATACTGACTATCACTTGTGCGGTAGCCAGAATAAGAAACTAATCACATACAACTGTCTTGCATCTAAATAAAAATAACATCTTTGCTATCACACAGCCTTTATATTTTGCAAAGAATATTTACAAAGGTTAACCTACTGGAGTAGTAAGTGATATTTAAAGTAATCCTGAGGACTGGTGAGGCAGTCAAAGGAGAAACTGATGACTTGCTGAGGAGGTGGGTGACTTGTCCAAAGTCAAAGGTATGGTGACAAAGTTGGGTTTTAGATCAGTGACTCCAAAGCTTTTGGAGTCTTTTGGTCATACGAAAGCTACTTTCAGATGATCAAATACATGGCCTTGCTGAAAATATGGACGTGCAATTAAAATGACTATTTCCAAATGTAAATTTGCCAAGTGAACTATCATAAGAAAAATAATTTAAAACTTGTTTCTTTAAAAAGGAATTTCTTAAGGTGGATTAGAAGTGAAGATAATCCAGTGTCAGTTCTGGTTTATATATCCAAGTTGAACTGGCCCATAGATCAGAGAGTGCTACGACAAGTTAGGAACGTCAGGACCCTTCCCTGTATTTCAGTATCAGAACTCCCCCGTGCACCCTGACCCGATGGCACTTCTGTTAACAAGGCTCCCAACAGCAAGACATTTTACCCTGAGCAGTAAATAGAGGAAGTTTGAGGGGGGTCCTGAAAACGTTGCCATTCAATCATTTAACAATATTTACCAAGTGCTTGCTACGTCTTGGGCCTGTGATTATTATATAAAGAAAATAGGCCCAGCCTCTATCCTCAAGGAGCCCAAAGGACTGTTTCAGCTAGACAATCATATCCATTAGCTTTAATAAATAAATTTAGTTCATGAGCAGATTACAACAGGCTGTATGTATATAATTCAGTGCAGCATTACAAGCTGCGTGCATATATTCACTCAGTTATCCTTACAAACAACCCCAGTGGATGGTGAAATGTTATGTAAACGTACAGGTGGGAGAATCAAGGTACTAGCCATGCAGCTACATGGCAGAGCTGGAATCCAGTCCCAGGTCTCTCTACGTACCAGGGCTTCTCAACCTTGGCACTATGGACTTTATTCTGGAGGTCTGCCCTATGCATTGTAATAGGTTTAGGGGCACCTGTGATCACCTACCCAGTAGGTATCAGGAGCACCTCCTCCCAGCTGTGACAACCAAAGATGTCTCCAGGCAAAATCAAATGTCCATAGGGGGACAAGTCACTCTAAGGAAGTACTTTAGAAAAATAAACTTCTTCTAGGTAAAATTTTATTTATTTGTACTTCTTACTATTTTTTTAAATTGTACATCTTCCAAATCCTTTCAAGTCTGTAAATAATCTATTCTGTACTTCTGTTCACAAGCACTGCTGTAGACCTTGCATCCTTTCCCTGCTTACTCCTGACTACCTCCCAACCTCCCTACCTCGTCCTCTTCAAAACATGACACTAATAAGTCCTTTTGCTATAGAACTTATAAGATTGAAAAATAACATAACGACTTTACTAAATAATTTGCCACTAGCTACCACAAGACTCTAAATGAAATTCAATGCCCAAATGGCCTGAGTATTATGAGTACCTCTTACTTTCCTGTATTCTACAGTGGATTTTAAGTTCTAAGTAGTCGGAAACTATCATATCCCCCCCATGTCCCAGATGGAGAGCAAAGCGCAAAAATGTCAAGCTATTATACTATAATCAATACTCAATTTGTGAACGCTGAAAATCTACCAATTATGCACCATGATTTTACTTAAAGAACATTATTCTATGAATTCCTAATCAAAAATCAATCACAAAACAGTAGAAAATAAATCAAATTACAAAAGTTGAAGTAGTTATCTGGTAATTTCAGCCAAAAAAGAAAAATTAGTGTGGATAAAAGCCAAGTAAAAGTTGGAAAAAGTGTGTGTTTTGGGGGTGAGGAGCAATTAGGATTTAATTCATTCATTGCTAATATTGAACTTTTCTACTTTACTGAAAACCCATTTATTCATAGATGTGAACTGAAAAATACAGTTAATATTATGTGCTTCTCCTACTTTTACTGAGTAGTATTTCTCTCCTCCCCGTAGCAAAGATGAATGGATCAATAACTAGGCACAGACGTTTCAGATCCAAGTTCATTGAGCACCACAATAAATATCTGTCCATGCTCAAAACAGAATCCTTTGTATGTATCTCACCCATACACCCCCAAACTTACATTAGCTTTCCTAGCACCCTGTGCCCAAACCCCTGCTAGTTACCCTTGCCTCTACAGTCTTATCAAGAGGCCTCCACTGGCACACTCCTCATTCCCACAGCTCCAGCCTCATTCTGGCTCTCTCTCTGGGTCCTAGGCAACAGGGCTGTCTGCCCTGAGTTTGAAGGCAGATTCCCACCAAGACCCTCTCCAAAACTCCACCCTCCCAACTGCCTTTTGGGAAGGGTGGTCACTCATTGCTTTTTTTGAGTATCAAAGTGCAAATCTGCATGCCAAAACACCTGAGAGCTTCAAAGTGCAGAAACCAGTTTACTTTATAATTGGGCTCTGTCGAAATCATTTGACCACTGAACACCTGCTAATCATCTGAGGGGGCATTTTTCGTCACTCTGCCCTAAAGCCCGAGCCATATGCCTGACATGTGGGGCTCTAGGAACATCTAAGAGAATCTTCAGGACAGACAGTGGGTACCAAGGGCTGTCTTACAGCTCTCTACAAGGAAACACCTTATCAAGCTAACATCAGACAGCTGATCACAACTGTCTATGTCCTGTTTCACCAGCCCTAACCTCTCTTAACAATATCATAAACTGCCTGTATTTTACCATGTTACTGACAGAACTATCACTGAAGAATTTGCCAAAGGCTTTGCTGAAATCTAAATTAGCTTTGTTTAAGGTATTCTCATCTAACAACCTCATGCACCTCTTGACAAAGGAAACAGAGCAAAGGTTGGGCAACAACCACAAAAGAACAGCATGGCTTCCACTGCAAAGATTTTTCTTAAAATCAGATTTTTTTAAAAAATATGATTATTGAAATATTTTATGCTGAGGTCTCCTTTTGTCTATTATTTTAGTCTTTTCCATAAACAAATGGATCAGGTTAGAACTTTATTTCCTATGTTGTCCAGGAAACCAAGGAGGTTGTCTTTCTAGCACAATGACCATGGTTTGAGCAGAATTTCAATCAACCTGAGCTTACTGGTAAATACTGAAAATACTACAGATGAGTATGACCCCCATAGAACTTGATATCCAGAGAGTAAAGGGGAAGTGTGTGTTACTAAAGTATAAAATGAAATAGAGGCTGTCGCATATCAGCTTGGGTAAAATCAGGTTTGTATCCCTGCCAATGGGGAGGGATATATACAAGGGACTCTTGGGACAAAAGCAAAAACCATCACGAAGTTTAATTTTCATGTGAACAGATGCCCCCAAACATAAAGAAAATTCACACAGGTAAGGGAGAGCACAGATGAAGGTTCTATGTTAAACCACAAACATACACACTCTCAAACACAATTTTTACAAAGGAAAACTTGACTTTAAAATAATATGTGTTCTAGTCAGTTTTAATTTGCTCTTTTCCATAAGGAAGTAGGTTCCCCCCCCCAGGATTTTATTAAAGGTCCTTAGGAATTTGTATGATATCTGGAGAGTTTCACCTTTAATCTTAACCCAAACAGAATCCCATTTTAATGGGATCACTGTCTACAGTTATTTCATTATGATATTGCTCCTTGAAGACTAAGTCTTAAGAAATTCACGATCATCACTAGGTTGCATAGCTGTAGTTCACTTCATCAAACTATTTTTTTTTTGTTTTGTTTTTGGTCATTTTGGTCTACAGAACCATTACCTTCCCCTCTTTTACAGATGAGGGAAATGAAAGAAATCCACCCAAGGTCACCTAAGAGAGCGGGAGAACCAGTTAGAACTGAGCACACCTGATTTCTCTTCACTCACCTAATTCATTGAGCCACCTGATATTTCCAAAATCCTCAAACAAAACCAAGTCTCCCTTACAGGAAAAAGCTCCACTTTAGATTTTTTTCTAAACTTCTCTCCTAACGCATTTCCATGATAGTGTGCCCCGATGTCAAACATGAAATTAAAACTCCACAGCAAGACTTCCTAGTAGAGAATGCTGTTATAATTGCTATGTAAATATCACTAATACCAGCACACCTAAAGAAATGACAAGACAAAATATTAAGAAGCAATGTGGTGCCTTTCAAAGTTCGGAGGTTTCAAAAACGCGTCTGCTATCAAAAGTTTTTCTAACTCCTTTGTTAAAATAAATAATTAAAGCCCATGGTGCCATAAACCATTGTGATTTAAACCTGGTCTTTTAAAATTCAGCAGGAAAAGCCACGCATCAGAAATTCAGCAGGGCAAGGATGCCACGGGAAAGCAGCTTCATCCCTTCCCCACTGCCCTAAGGATTGCAACCGATGACAGAAAACCAGAGCCTCTCTGCAGAGTTTCCAGAATGCTAGGGAAGTGGAAATGCACGAAATGTCCAAAGCCCCTTTCATGCAGGATCTATGTTCTCCTTCAACTGCCCTTATCCGCTACACCTCCGGCTGAGATATGGGAGCTTCCGCAATTGCTAGAGAAAAGAAATATTATTCAAACGTCCTTTAAATTTTGTAGGAGGAAAGTGATCCGAAATTCATCTTTGGGGGAAAGAGAAGGGTGGAAGACCTCCCACTGCCAACGGCGGTTAAAAGCTGCTCGTTAGAGGGCATTTATCCAAAGTGGCCAAACTTTCCCAAAATAGTCCTCTGGCGGCCAAAGGGGGGAAAAAGTGGAAAACCAAAACAAAACAACAAGCACACAGCACCATACTGACTGTGCCTCCGGATTACGCAGCCACTTCTCCCTGCAAAGTGCACGCTCCCGCGCCGCGGCCGCACGCCCAGCAGGGCAAGAGGCGCCCAGCTGCGCACCCCTACACACCTGCCTCGGCCGGGGTCCTTCTCTCGCCGTCTACCTGTTGCAGCGCCTGCCACCGCCACGACACCCTTGCTGCGGAGCCCCCCTAAATCCAACCACATCCAGGCCAACGAGGGCCGCTCTCCCTACAGCGGGAGAGCCCGAGGCAGCCACGCTCTTGCACCCAGGTGACTGCACGGGCTTCTGAGCAGCCTGAAGTTGGCTCGCGTCTCCCGGGCCCAATGACACCCCGGGCGCTGAGGAGCTGAGAGGAGGGGGCAGGGGCTGGGCCAGAGCGGGCAAAAAAGGGAGGGAGAGAGGGAGAGGGGGCGGGCGAAAACCCGGAGGGGGAGTGGGCCAGCTGGAGGGCCGGCCCTTTTAAAAGCGGGTCACATGTCCAGAAAGTTCAGGTTGCCATCCCGCCCCCCTGAGCCCTTCCCATTGGCCCGGAGGGAAGCTAGGCTCCACGCTGCACGGACCAGGCGGGTTTCTCATTGGACAACCTGAGCTGTCAATCACCGGGCGGGCGACATGACTGATACAAAGTTGCTGCGACACAGCCTGGACTCCGCAGTTTCCTTAAAGCCGCAGCGGCGGTGGGGTGCTTGGGATGCCGGGCGGTGGCAACGAAATTTAGCCCCCCTCAGCAAGCTGCTTTCCGCCCCTCTCGCTCGCCCGCCCCAAACTTGCTCTCTCCCACCCAGCTCTCCTCCTGGTAGACCCCAGGACACCAGGAGAGACGTGAAAAGTGTGGTGACGCGGAAGAAGTCGTTTTTCCGCGAGCAGTCAAGGTGTTGTCCCCTCTCATGCTCTCCACCTGCAGCGCCAGGTGAGCGGCCGCTCAGCCCCGGCGCCGCCCACAGCGTCCTTGCGCGGGGGAGGACTCGGGTGGGCTTCCCCGACCCTGAGGTTCCTCTCCCCGCCCCCTTCCTCTGTCTCGGGAGTTACCTCTCGGCAGTGCAGCCGCAGTCTCCGCTGCCAGCGAGCAAGAGGATCACGTTCCCACTCGATTTGAATTTCCTTGTTTTAACCGTGCAGGAAAAGCGGGTGCTTTCAGTGCAGCCAAACCCCTTCAAACATAGCCTTCCTCCTCCCACTTCTCCACCCCAAAAAAGTGCCAGGGTCAAGAGCTAAGGCGCTCCATCCCGATCATTTTGTTACTGTGCATACTACTTTAGTATTGGATTTTTCCACTAGTTCAATAGGAAAGAGAGCTTATAAAGGATATTCACTTTATAATAGGGGAGGAGGGTTGCACATAATTGGGGCCAACATGCGGGGTGGGGAACTAAACTGTTTTCTAAGGATCCAGTGTCTGCAAGAAGAAATTTCGGTTTCCCTCCAACCGCCCCCACCTCCAACCCGCCCACCCAAACACTGCACTTACTAAGCAAAAGGATGGGCTTTTAACTTTGATTTCTAAGGACTTTTAGGTTCCTCTTACGAGGCTCCGTTTTAGGTTCCTGGCTGGCCCAGAGTCAGCGTCAGTGACGTACACACCTAAATCTGGTCCCCTGGCCCTTGGCGACCCGCAGGCCGGCGGGCAGCGGCAGCTGTGCAACTGCCGCCTCACCCTTGCTCCGCGCCCGCCGAAGCCATAAGGGGGAGGAGGACACACTGTGCCCAAAGGCCCCTCCTTTCCTTACAGTTAGTTAAGCTTCGGGATTCCCGACCCCGAACCCAGGGCGACTCGAACTCTCAGCCTCACCAGTGGCAAAGTCCCTGGAGGAGGGATGACAGCAGCAGCGCGGGTGAGCTAGTCGGGACCCCAAACTCCGGTGCCCCCCAGTCCCCTACGCCGAGCTGACCCCGGGCGCCCCCACAGCCAAGAGTCCCCGCAGAGTGTCCCAACTTTCCTTTGGGGCCGACGGTCACGCGCGCTCTCCTCGCCCGGCGAGCAGTAAGGCATCGATCGCACCCAGGCCGTGCGCTGGCAGCGGGCAGGAGCAAGGGGAGTCCCGGACCCAGCGCCCTCGCACGCCGCGGCTGCTCAGCCTGCGTTGCCCAATTATTCATTATTAAAGGAATGGACGTGTATCTTTTACTAAGTTTTTACCTCCTTTGGGGAGGGCTGGTCTTGCCCTGGATCACAGCTTCTTGCAAAATCTAGGTTAGAACCATGTAGGGACAGCCACTGCGCTCGCTCTCCAGCCGCCCTGCACCCTTGCCCCGAGGCGGCCCAGCGGGCACCTCGCCTCCTGCCCGCAGTCCACCTCGGTCCGCCCACCCGCGCCCTCTCCCCAGTGCGCGGACCCTGCCTTCTTCCCCAGGGCCTCTCTGCGCTCTCGGGGTCCCCTCCCGCCGCTGTCAGCGCAAAGTGACTGTCGTTGCACTCACCTTTTCTAGGACATGGTGGGGAGGTTGGGGCGGGGGAGGGGGGTACGGAGACTCCCGCCGCCGCCGCTGCTGCCGCCACCAGCAAGTCCGCTAATAGCTGATCGGCGGTGAGGATGGAGGGGATGGTATTCCCGGCAGTCGCCCTACTGACGGTGGGTAGAGCAATAGAGCGCTAGTGCTGTTACCCCGCGGGAGGCGGCGAGGCGGCGGCGCCAAACCGCGCAGAGGGGGCCGCGGGCACCCGCCCGCCCCCAGCAGCGGTGGCCGGGCCTCCTGCGGGCCCCTCTGCCGGGGCTGCTGGCTGCCGGCGATGACAGTGGCGGCTCGGGGAGCCTGCCAGTCCGGCGGGAAGATCCCGCGCCGGCTGCCGCGCAGCGTGTATCTCTGCGCCCCCTCCCAGGGGCCAGGGGTGGTCGGTGACAGCTCGGGCGGCGGAGCGTGTGTGAGTGTGTGAGTGTGTGTGTGTGTGTGTGTGTGTGTGTGTGTGTATGTGTGTGTGAGGGGGCGGCCGCAGGGGGAGCCCGCAGCGCCGCGGCCCCCTCCCCGGGTCACACCCTCACTAGCGGGAGGAGGCAGCACCGCGTCCAGCCACCGGCTGGTGGGAAACTGGGCTGGGGGCGCCACTGGCGGTCCTCCCAAACCTAACCACTGACAGCAAGGACACCTAAGGAAAAGGGGGACCCAAATGCACATACTCCCTTCGCCCCTCCCCGCTGACCCCCTCCCAAAGTCCGGCCCCGATCTCGCGCCCGGCTCAGGTGCAGTGGCCACCCTGGGGTGGGAGGCGAGGGCTGGGGACCAGGCGCGGGGGGCGGGAGGGAAAAGTTTCTTTTCCTGCTCCCCGGCTGCTCACCCGGTGAGACAGCTCCTCTCCCCGCCTCCCTGGGCTCGCCGGCCTCTGCCCCACCCCCACGGCATCCGCGCACGGGGGCGTGGAGGGACAGTGGCGAGGACCGGCGGCCGCCACCGATCCCCTAGCTCTGACGGCGGCAGAGACGCCCGCGGCGGCGGCCGGGCAGAGCCAGCCAAGCGGGTGCCGAGCGCCAGGAGCCCGCCCCCGCCGCGCGCCCCCGCGCCGCCCCGCGCGCCCCCGCGCCCGCCCGGGCACACACCTACGCAGATGCGAAAGTGAAAGGGGGGCGACGGAGCCGGCGGGCAGCCGGCTGAGCGCGGGCACGCGGCGGGGGGCGGCGGACGGAGCTGGGAGAGCAGTCCTGGGGTCCCCAAGTGTCTGCTGCTCGGTGGAGCTGCCCGGAGTCTCCTCGCTCCCCAGCCTCCCTGAAATCCCACGCCTCCACCCCCCAGGCACGCTGGTCACCCTCACCGGGAGACTGTGTGCGTGTGTGCACGCGTGTTCACGCGCACTCGCGGTGTGCGAGATAAGATTCTGCTCTAGACTCTTCCACCGACCATTACACACACCCTTAGGTGGAAGATTGCGGAGCGGGGGAACCCTTGTGGGTGTCAGTAGCATTTAGAGACCCACCTGCTTGTGTTTTATGACTCAGTTAAGCCCCAGGAACTTGACCACACACCCTTTTTCTGGTTTGACACTCCTTTTCCCACTAGTTTTCTACAGATTCTGTTGCCCCCTACCCTACCCTTCTCCGGTGCATTTCCATTTTCTTCCTAAATAGCTGTGAAAGTTGCTGATCCCTTCCCACGCAGAGCCATGTCAAATACAGGCGGCCCTGTTAAAACAATCACTGCTTTTCTTCAACCACAGCCCCACCGTCCTAATCAAGCTTCCAGTTGCCTCCACCACCCACAGTGTTGGCACTACTAGGTTCTTAGATGGCACCAAGTAGCCTTTTGGCCACCCGCAAAACAACCTTTTGCCTGTATCTTATTTGTAGGAATGGCTTCTGGGTTAATATTTGTGAAGGTGTACCTTAAGTGAGATCAAGAAAATATTTAAATAATGTATTCTCCAAATTGACATGGTATATATTTAGTGAACTTTAAAAAGAATCTGTCTGCAAACTGACTTTGGAACTCCATCAAAAATAAGAAGGATTGTCACTGATGGATTGATAAAGTGAATGGAAGGATAGATATAAAAAAGCATGTATGTGTTACAATATTAATGGGAGAATCTAGGTGCTGGTAGACAGGTGTTCACATTAGTGAAAAGAACCACACTTAGGGTAACCTATATGATGCAAATTCCATATACAAAACTGATAGGTTAGGCTTCCATGATTCCCCCTTTACAAAATAATTTACCATAAGAATTCTTTGTCTATGTACTTCCACTATTTTAATTAATAATTTCAATCACAGATAACGTAATCAAACTATGGTGTGGAGTTACTGTGATGCTAACATGTTAGAAATTTTAAAAATTTCTTCCTATTTTTTTTTTCTTGGCCATTTCACAATTTTTTTTAAAAAAATCTTCCTTGCCTTTAAACTTGTTTGGTATTAAAAGGCAAAGATTGAGTTTTTATATATTCTTTTGAAACTCTCACACCAAAAGAGTGGGGAGGGAGCAGAGACTTCCACACGCCCATATATTCAGTTTCTCTAAGACATTAGGGGATGTTGCAATATTAATAGGTGAATTTTTAGTTGTTTTTTATACCTGAGTACTTAGATATTTGCCCACATGTTTGAGTGATTAGGTTTCCTTTTGGTATACCACTGTCTTCTGTTGACACCCTGAGAGAAGAACTGCTTTGGAGAAAGGTGACACTAGTTTTGGTAGAATCACGCATGATGGTGCATCTGAGACACCCCATCAAAGAGGATAAGGCAGGGTGGTTAGGTGCTTAGGACTACTCTTTATTCTGATGCTCATTAATGAAGAGGTCTATCAACTTGAAAAGTATGGGCCTAGCAATGTTATTGCTTGTTAGCTGTCTCTTAATGAAGTTTATTCATTTCAACCTTTTAGATTAAACATATTTGCTCTTTGCAAAGGATGGAAATTTCTTTGGAAAAAAACTAAGAAAGGACAAGCACAG